TGGATGGTTGGAAAGTTGGGTAGATGGATGGCTGGATGGATGGAAGAATGGATGGATGGATGGATGGAAAGTTGGGTAGATGGATGGCTGGATGGATGGAAGAATGGGCAGATGGGTGGCTGGGTGGGTGGGTGGATAGAGAGTTGGGTAGATGGATGGCTGGATGGAAGGATGGATGAATGGGTGGATGGATGGAAGGATGGATGGATGGAAGGATGGATGAATGGATGGGTGGATGGATAGATGGTTGGATGGAAGGGTGGAAGGATGGATGGATGGGTGGGTGGATGGGTAGATGGATAGATAGGTGGAATAATGGGTGGATAAAAGAATGGGTAGCCCTAACATCCACCTTATGGCCCAGATGGGCAACCTGGGGAACTCATCCTTGACTTCCCTATTTCACTTCCATTGCATATTCAGTCACAAGCAGGTTCTGAGGATTCCTCTCCTGGCCTTGCCTCTGTCGTCTCTGATCCCCCCTTTTCTACTCCAGACTCCTGCCTGTCCATTGATCAGCCTTCTTCCTGATCAGTCTCCCTGTTTCTTCTCCCCTTTCCTACCAACCCCCCATTTGCTTTCCAAGTGGCCTCTTCACTACACTCTCTCCCTGCTTAAAACTCCTCACTGTCTTCTGTGCTGACTGTGGGGTGCTGCTCAAACCCCTGTACCATCCGCATCCCATCCTGTCTGTCTCCCCTGCTTCCCTACCCCCACCCCTCTCTGGCCACTTGGTGACTGACCAGATTATTTTAAGCTCCCATTTTGTCCTAGGTTCTCCCTTGGTCCCCTGCCTCCCACCTCCTGACCTGCCTGGGGAGTCCCCGCCCCCCCCCAGGACCCAGATGAAGCATCCTTTTTCCAGAAGCCTCCCAACCCCCACCCACCCGTGAATCCCAGCACAGATCTGTGTGTCTTCCTCTCCATGAGGTCTTTGATGGTGGGGCCCAGAACTTGTTAAATTACTAATAACCACAACCAGGGGTGCTTGGGTGGCTCAGTTGGTTGCGTGTTTGACTCTTGATTTTGGCTCAGGTCATGATCTCAGGGTCATGGGATCGAGCCCCCGCATTGGCTCTGTGCTTGGTGGGGAGTGTGCTTGAGATTCTCTCCCTCTCCCTTCCCCCCACTAGTGCGCTCTCTGTTTCTCTCGCTAGCTCTCTTTAAAATAAATAAATAGTACTAAAAAATAATAATAACAACACTGTATGGAACAAGAAGAAGACTATCTGGAGAGGACCATGGGTCTGGTATTTGCCGGACCCCAGGCTATGTACTTTTCATGCATCATCTTAAGTAAGGCTTTCAAATGTGGCCCTGAAGTCAGTGGCATCATCCTGTGCTTACAGAAGAATCCAAGGTGCTAAAGGGGGGCACCTGGGCATCACACCCAGGCCTGACTACCTCTGCAGCTGAGGCAGTCCTGCTGGCTCTCCTGCCTCCTGCCCTTGGGGGGTCAGGGCCAGCCCAGAGCAGCTGTCGAATGAGCACACGTGTCAGCTCAGGGCAGAGCCCCTGGCAAGGGACGGGTTCTGCCTGGGCCCACAGCCCCAAGCCAGCAGGCACCATGTGCCCCCAGGATGGGAGGCTGGGATTCCGGTCACCATGACAACTATTCTGTCTCTCTCTCTCAGCTCCAGAGACGCAAGATCAAGTGCTACTTCCTGTCGGCTGGAGTCACCGTCCTGCTGGTCATCATCCTCATCACCGCCACCTCTATCCGAAAGTAATGCCGCCAACGGTGAGTGCCCCAACTGCCCCGTGCCGTCTGTCCCTCCACCCTTCTGCTCATCTGTCTGTCCCTACGTGGTCTGCTGTGTCAAGCACGGGGTCAGCCCTGGCGGCCCAGCAGGGCACGTGGCAGGTGGGGGCCGTCTTTCTGGAGCCCCCAGCTGAGGGCAGGCCAACTCGAAGCTCCCCTTCCTGCAGGCGCTGACTTCCAACAGGTCCTGACCGGCCGTTCACGTGTTGGGCGGTGCAGCCGGCAGGTGCCGGGGCCCAAGGCGGGGAGCCAGGCCACTGGTGGGGTTGTTGGACGGGCAGAGTAGGTGCTGGGCCCCTCCCGGGCCGGGCGCTGGGCGGGAGCTGGGGCGGACGGGGACTGACCCAGGGCATGGGAAGCACCTACAGAGGCGTGCGGGGTGGGCGTCTGGGGTCTCTACGCTGTGCAACAAAGTGGCCTAAAACTCAGTGGCTGAAAACAGCAACCAACATTTATTACCTCGCAGTTTCTGTGAGTCAGGAATTCAGAAGGGGCTTAGCTGGTAGGTTTGCTCAGCGTCTCTTGTGAGGGTGCAGGTAGATATGGGCTGGGACTGCACGACCCGAGGGCCCGACGGGGGCAGGAGGATCCAGCTCGAATGTGGCTCCCCCCACGTGAGGCCCGCAGGGCGACGGGTCCCCGAGAGCCAGGCAGCTGCCACACCTGGTCACTACGCAGCGTCTCTCCGGGCCAGCTGCAATGGCGTGAGGGGCCACCTCACAGGGCATGACTCCAAGGAGGGATGGCCACGGGGCCCCCGGAGGCTGGCTTCCACGTCCAGAGCGCTGCAGGGGCTACACAAGGATGCTTCTGGCTGCAGGAGGGGGTGCACGTGTGAGGGCTGTGGCAGGAAGGGGCCTATGTGTCCTCTGGACACCCTGGGGTCCAGCACCTGGGCCCAGCACTGGGACACTGTGGGGGCTGGGGGAGGGGCTCAGGGAGGGGCAGGCAGGCCCTGCTGAGCTCCACAGCTGCCCCCCGGTGTCCCCCCCAGTCACTGTCATGCACGGTCCCCCCCCACAGCCTGTGACAGCGTTTGTGGCGGGCAGCAGATGAGCGGGGGCTGCAGGAAGCTCCGTGGACAGTCACCTCGGTCCGGGGCCCTCAGGCTCCTGCATCCAGATTTTAAGTGCCTGCTGTCTCATCAAGAGCCACCCCAACAAGGCTGGGATGCAAAGTGGGAGGCGGGGAGCCCTGGCTGTCCCGAGGCCTGTCCTTGGTGGGTAGCTTCTCATTGGGTCCACTATCCCTAAGGCTGGGCTGGGATGTCACCAGGAGAACAAGGAGCCAGCTCCTGGTCTGCACAGAGCATCGGAGGGAGTAGGGAGTGGGGAAGGGAGACGTGTTTGTGGTCAACCAGCTATGTGTGCACACTGCATATCCATCATCTTGACTGGTCCTCCCAGCACCCCCAGGTGGACAGGTCCCAACCTGGCTGAACCCTGGGGCCAGGAGGGCTCAGAAGGTCTTGGCTTTCCCTGGGAACACACCGTGAGCCAACCGCCCCTGGTATCCTCCTACTTGACGTCTCCACTGCACGGCCCCAGAAGGTCTGCTGTTCACAGTAAGCGGGACACATGGAAGCCCCAAGTGGCCTGGCTTCACTGGGGTCAGTGCAGGTTTGCTGCTAAAGTTTTGGACCTGCAGAGAGAACTCCTGGTGCTTGGAGCTTCTTGGGTTTTGGGACTGTGGGCGGGGCCTGCTCTCCAGGTGAGGTCAGTGGGGGTCCCAGGCAGGCTCCCTGCCCGGCCCCTGTGGCTGCCCTGATGGGGATGGACTATCATCCTCCGGGGCACTTGGGGAGTCATTGCTTCCTGCCCCCCGAACCCAGGTGGTCCCCAGCTGGGGCTCAGGAGCATGAGCCTGTCCCCCGCACCCTCCTGCTAGGGTCCACAGCTGGTGCCCCTCCACCGGAGGAGGGACTTAGTGGGAGGGGCCGGAGGGCACCCTGGGTGTGGGGGCCTGGGGGGAGCAGGGAGCATCTGCCCCTGGAGAGGGAGTGGGGCCCTGCTGACACCTGGATTTCAGACTCTGGCCTCCACACTATGGGAGAGTCTTTCCTGTTGTTTTAAGTCACTCCATTTGTGGTCATGTTGACCCCAGCCCCAGGAAAGAGCTACATTTGCGAGGCACCCGAGGCAGGCATGTTACATGGGGTGTCCGTGTCTCGGCTGGTGGGATGTGCGCCATCAGCACCGTGGCCCCATTCTGCAGGGGAGACTGGCCCATGCTTAGGGCTTGCCCTCGGTCACACACATTCTGGGCGCTTCCCATGCTGAGGTCAGATTTAGGGATGGAAGAGGCCTGGCAGGGGGCCCGGGAGCATCTTGATGTCTTGAAGCCATGATCCACGTCTGCATGGGAGGTGGGTCTGCAGGGGCAACACAGATGGGCCTAGGAAGAAGGTCAATTTGGGCGCCTAGCAGATGGATCCCCAGTGATCTGGAGAGAGGGGAGGGGCTGTAATGCCTGGACCCTCCCCTTGTTCCTCCCCTGGGGCCTGGGGCTCTAATTCCTCCAGCATACCCTCTCTCCTCCTTCAGATTTCCTCCTCCCTCCCTTTCCAGGTTGGGGAGCAGTCAGGGCCACCCAGCGGCTCTGCGCCCTGGAGCCCTTCCCCGTGCCAGAGGAAGCTAAGGGAGGTGTGGGTCAGGGGTCTGGGGCCACGCAGGAACACATCATCTCTGGCACACCAGCCAGGCCAGAAGAGAGGCCCAGCAGCCCAGACGCTGTCTGCCCGCAGTCGGCCCAGGGGCCAGGGTCTTGCGGGTGGCAGGGTCTTGTTGGGGGGCTGCCCTCGCTCAGGCCCCAGAGAAATGGGGCTGGGGTGGCTGCCCTCTTTCCCTCTCCCTGGAGCTGCTCTGAGGACAAAGGCAGCTAAATATAAACAGCACTTTGAGGAAGGAAAAGGCTTGATTCAAATGCAGGGGGATTATTTCCGCAGAGAAAAGCAGCCTCTGAGGGAGGAGCTCGGCTCCCTGTTCCCTGACTTGGAAGAAGCCCGACAGCCCGACAGCCCATGCATGTGCTCATTTCTGGGTGTAGGGTGAGACATGCCCTCTGGTAGCTCTGAGGGGGCAAAGGAACCCCCCATGTCACACCCGCCGTCTGGGTCATCCCCCGTGCACCCTTGCCTGCTCCCATGGCTGTGACCACCCCCATGGGCTAGGCTATTCCCCATTTACAGAGGGCTGGTGAGTCTGCCTCCCCCCTGGTCAGGCTGGGGTGCTTGCTCAGGTGGAGCAGCTGCTGCCACCAAGCAGGTGCCTCCAAGAAGACCAGTGCGGGGACTCTCCAAAGTGCCTGTGGCCAGCCTCACTCCCCACAGGGTTCCTGGACTCAGTTTACAGCAAGCGTGAAGGCTAGTCTGGGACTGAGTCAGGGCCCATAATATGACTGGGATCAGGGCTCAGGGTGTGACCAGGATCAGAGCTCAGGGTGTGACCAAGGTCAGGGCTCAGTGTGTGACCAGGATCAGGGTTCAGAGTGTGATGGGGATCAGGGCTCAGGGTGTGACCAGGATCAGGGCTCAGGGTGTGACCAAGATCAGGGTTCAGGGTGTGACCAGGATCAGGGCTCAGAGTGTGACTGGGCTCAGGGCTCAGGGTGTGACCGGGATCAGGGCTCAGGGTGTGACCGGGATCAGGGTTCAGGGTGTGACCGGGATCAGGGCTCAGTGTGTGATCAGGATCAAGGCTGAGAGTGTGACCAGGGTCAGGGCTCAGTGTGTGACCAGGATCAGGGCTGAGAGTGTGACCAGGGTCAGGGCTCAGAGTGTGACCAGGATCAGGGCTCAGTGTGTGACCAGGATCAGGGCTCAGTATGTGACCAAGGTCAGGGCTCAGAGTGTGACCAGGGTCAGTGCTCAGAGTGTGAGCAGTGTGTATTCAGTCTGTGGTCAGGATTGGGTTTCCTGAGCCCTGGCTGGCACATGGGATGATAGGGTGGGACAAGCCAGCTCGCCCACCCTGCTTACGCCCACCCCAGCCTCAACCCTGACCTCTGTAGGAGCCCCTTCCCCACCTAGGAAAGTGCAGCTCTTTGCGAAAGCATGTGCAGGCCTGGTCATTTGGTGAGGAGACCTCTCCCTGTAGATGAAGGTCGGGGTCAGCTCAGCATGTGGGGCCCAGAAGAGGAACTTGGGGTAATTCTGGGTCTCCAGCACTGAGGTGTCTGGAGATGGACACAGAGCTCCTCCCCTGCAGCCCAGCTGGGACTCCTGGGGGCAGAGGGCCCAGGCTGCAGGTGAGCCCAGTGCCCCTCGTTCCCGGGTTGCAGTCGGCATGCAATAGTAGGCAGACAGGCCACTGTCTGCCTACTCACCGCTGTCCAGGTCCTGGCCGAGGAACCTTGTAGAAGCAGGGAAGTCCTTGGGATCTGGGGGTGTCCCCTCCCCACCATCCTCCTGAGCGCTCACGACCTCAGTGTCTGGGCCCAGGACCACTTTCCATGTCGGACTTGGGTCGCTGTGGACTGTTCGTGGGTCCCTGCGGGATGTGAGCCATCTGCGGTCACCAGGCCATGCGCAGGATACGAAACAGGCATGGGAGGGGGAAGGGCGGAGGCCCCTGGAGCGCTAGTGGGTGCCTGTCCTGGGTCCCAGGCTCCTGCTGGAGTCACAGGCTGGGCTCCAAGAGATAGAAGATTACAGTATCTAGGCAACAATCAATGAAGTATTTTTCATGCGCACAAAAAACGTAAGGGGCTAAATGGAGGCTTATAGCAAACCATGTTTTTAATGTTTTCTGAAAACCGTGAAGTATCGAGCTGAAGGCATTGATTTCCATTTGGGAAGCCCGGGTGGGGGGTTGCATGCACGCTTCTCTGCAGTGCACACCCATGTGCTTTTTCACGTGTGTCTCTGCGTGTCTGTAGGTGTGTCTCTGTGCATGTGTCTGCGTGTGCACGTGTGTGTGTGTCTGTGTGTGGTCAGGAAAGACTGTTGACTGCCCGCCCCCCCTCCCACAGGCTGTAACTGG